CTGTCCTCATGAACATTTTGCTCAGGTTCTTCACAGCCTCACCATTTATATTAGGAATGAACCATAGGTCAAACAGCCTAGCAATTCACTTCCTAACTTAACAGCCTGAGGCTCTGCCTCAGGGCCTTTCACACAGCCAGCTATTAACCACAAAGGAATGTCACCTGCACTGGTCATTATTGTTAATTATGGCACTTCTCTATTCACACGCCTCCATAGGAAAAGTTTTTCTCATCAGACTCCTTCCCCTATCACCCAGGACTGGGTTATTATATCACACCCAGAAGCACCACGCAGTGTGCAGTAGGTTTTCACAAAGAGCCAGGTGGCTACACCTTATCCCTACTGACTCCAGAAATACAGACCAAGCAGAGGGCTAAACCCTGCTCATCACTGTCTTGCCCTCCCTGTATTTGCAGGGTTAGCTGTGATTCAGGTCTGCCATGGCGTGGAGGAATATGGGACCCAGGCTGTTCACCAGTGCCCGTCTGGGACAGACAAGATTTTGGATCTGGGCAAGAAGACCTGGGATGGATGGCATTTCTAGATTCAGGCAAGACTTTCCTCAAGGGGCAATGACAACCTTGAAAAGAAAGGAAAAGCAATGGTAACATCTGCAATGTTCAGAGCATGCCACCTACAGCAGATCTCCTGGGCAAAGGCTTTCTGTTGTGTGTGATCCGTGAGCTGCTCAATGTGCAGGCAAAGGCTGCAGTGGAAGAGGAAGGATAAAGAAAACTTTCTAGAAAGGTACATGACAGCAAGAAACAACTGGGGTGGAGCACAGAGCCTCCTTGTAGACAACTACAACCACCACAAAAAAACATACCTCTCACTTGCATTTCACAGGTTTATATTAAACCCGCATGTTACTATTTGCAGGTTTATATCAAAAAACACTAAGGTCCAGGAGACCACCACCTGCCCTTACCTACAGATGCTTTCAATCCACAGCTACCAGCTCACCTAGAAGGAAGATGTTTAGGACTCCTCTCACAAGCCTGTGTGAGAACAAGTGTTCTCCAAAAAAACTCCCTCAGAAGAGGAACAGGCTACGAGACTGCTCCTCAGTGGGATCTACCTCTATCATAAAGCAAACAATCATCCCTCCACTTGTAACAGGAGCTGCTGCAAGATATAACTGTCCTCGTGGATAGTTATCCCTAATTGTCCCCAGAGGGTGCACTCTCTACCTCTTAGGCATCAGTCAGCAATTCAAAACCGTAGTCCTTATTCTATCAAACCTCAATTTGTCCTGCAGTCTGTAGTATTCTTTAGAAAGAAGAAAAAAAAAAAAAAAAAAAGGTCCAAGAAACATCTCTCTCCAAAAATCCAGTCTGAAAGGTCCCTGGGAGGTAATATGAATGCAGACTGTAGCAAATCATTTCTAATAATTCATGACTAGTATGACATACGGTTATAACAGCTGAGGAGTTATCCTTAAAACTATCTGCCATGCAAGCTCTGCATGCCTTTCACTTCTTGGAAGTTTTACATGCTGTATTACTGTGGGGTTGGATTCAATAGTCTAAATAAAGCTTCCTCTTGCTCTTCCAAGCTGAAATATAAAATAACACAGGGGGAATAAGCATTTATCTCCTACAACGCAGCACATACGAAATCCTTTCACTGAAGTAAGAACTACAACAGTCAAACCTCTGGGTCATTCTTCTTTCTGTGAAAAGGCTTGTTAAAAGTATATGTTAATGCTCCCTGCCAATTTTTCTTCTCTTAGCCTCTTCCTTCCAGGGCTCTCATTACATTCCCCCTCTATGTAGTTTTAAAAGGTTTCCTTGTCTGACAATTTTGCTGAAGGCAATTATGTTACTTGCCTTCTCCTGAGCTCAATATACAACAGCAGAAGCAGCGCACTGCACATACGGTTATGGTCTGTTTTAAAGACTCTTGGAGCTGGTTATCAGATCCTGGCTGCATGACTTGTGTCCTTTGCACCTACCAGAGTCTGTGAAGCCCTGGATCTCAGCTTTGGGATCGTTCCTTATTCAAAATTCAAGAGGTGAAATTTTTGCTATCCACAGAAGACATTTTTCTATATTGAACTGGAAACGACAAACCCGTACTTAGACCTTAGCCAGGAAGATAAGCTCTTTGGGATGACAGAAGGCAGCACAGCTCCATCTGTTGCATTAAGCAGGTGTTCAGGAGTCAAGTGCACTCACCTTTCTGATGAGAAAAGGGTTCTTCTTTTTGGATTGTAATGTCACTCAAGTTTATCTACAGCTTTGTAACAGATCTCTAGGGACTGGCAACAAACTCCCAAAGGCTAGAGGCTCAGTTATCCCTTATGATTTTTACAGGGAAAAGTCATGTTTGAGCAGAATGGGAACCCACAAAATACATCTAGCTGTGAATCAGGCACAAGCAAGCCCTTTCCCCTGCCTCTCCCAGTGGCCCATTACTGGTCATAGCAGGCTTCATCTCCAGGGTGCTCCCTTTGCAGGTAACAGAGCCTGACATTCCCCTGCCATTATCAGTCCTGCTGCAGGACTTGGCTTCTTTGGCTGAACACAAGCCATTTTACCCACTTTGGAGCCTTCAAAGCCAACACACAAGTCAATACATACGCAGAAGAGCTTTTGAAGCCTGGTTTCCAAGTGCTTTCATTCAGTACATCTGTCTCGCACATGGATTCCCTGATGTACAATTACACAGTTAAGTTCAAATTTCAGTCCGTCCCTTTAGTGGGGCACTGATACGAGTTAGACTTCTTTAGTTGCCCATCTATTTTCAGAAACTTTGTTGAAACACAGCACACTGCAGATTTCTCATCCCTAAAATTAGGCCGAAATCAGCTCATGAGTTAAAATATTACCCCGGTGGAAAACTGAAAGTCAAAAATAAATAAATAAATCAAGCCAGCCACAAGGCCACACTATGGGTAGTAGTAAGTCTAAGAAGCTGATTAATAGAAGAACATAAATAAAATGCACAAACACTTACACCTACTGCAAGAAGGGCCTCGATCCTCACTGACAGCTGATGTGCTTTCCCTGCCCAACCACTGGTACTGCCCCTCTGCCTGGAACATATATGTTTAGGTCTGCATACTCCTACCACGTATCCCTTACGTGCTGCATTTAGTACCAAGTCACAGAACCTCCTAGTAGGGTGAGAGTTATGATATGGGATGAATTCACATGAAAGCAATGCTGCAGCTTCTGAGTCACTGTCTCTCTTTGCTTCTGTCCTTTCTTTTGTCCTGTTAAAATCCCAAATAACAAACACTTCAAGGAAGAATCTCTTTTCTCAACCACCATCTCAAAATATCCATTTTGCCAGGGAAAAAAAACACTGTGCCTACTATAGAAACACTTTTTTAGGGCATCCTTTAGGAAAAACGTGGTGCAGGCATGTCTGTAACACCTCCACAAGTGGGAGCATGGCACAGACATCCCCATCTCACAGGAGCCCAACACAGACTCAGAGAAATTCAAGTGAATCAAAAAAAATTTAAGTTTTGGACTGCTTAAATTCTGAGAGCTTGAAATTGTAACTTTAAGGTCACAGTAGCTTAGATTTTGTATTAATTCCTCGTACTTTTAAAAGCTTATTGTCTTTGCCAAGCAGACTTTCCCCATCAAGGGAATTTAAATGATATGCGAGCCATTTAGGTACACAATATATATTGTCACTGCACAAAGGACCTTTAGAAAGCTGAAACTGGATGAACTTTGCAAGAAAAAGCCAGCTTGGGGAAAGCTATTTCCAACTATCACTGCCAAGTTTAAGTAATATAGTAATGGTATGGGGCTGGACACATAAAACACCATCTGGATAATTAAAATATACACAAAGGTGGTATGGGGACAAGTATCATCTGAATGTTAGCAAAGGAAGACTGCTAAAAAGAATTAACCCTTCAATGATACATTCACATTGGAGACAGGAGTTACACAGGTGTAGGGAAGTCCTCTTCTCTAAGACCCAAAGTACACATACCTCTCCTCTGGCCAAGCTCAGCCTGCAGCTCAGACCAACATTTTAGACCCAATACTGTAATGCATTTAACACGCACAATTTAAAACATAGGCTTTGTGTTTTAAAATCCTTAAACTCACAAATGAAGCACCGAAATGTTTTTCCTTACTTCAAACAAGTTTCATGCTGTTTCTCCCATCGCTTGTAAGAAATCGTACTACATTTTCTTCATCGCTTTACACTGCTGTGTACGTAGTCTCACATAGAGTGAAAGTTAGCACTGCAACAGATGGTGCAACATGGCTCTAACATTAGAAAATCAGAAAGTGAATTATTACTGTTGATAAAAAAAAAAATGGACAAATTCCTTGCAACTCAGTTGTCTGTCCCAAACTTATCAGAAGGTGGCAGTATTTCAAAACATTATTTTTTGGATTTACCGGAGGGGCATTTATTTGTTCATCGACTACTTGTTAATAATGCATTTTATTATTCCTAGTGTTTTAAAGTGAGGAGCTGTAGATCCTATCTGCTGAGGCGGAGAGGAAGCAGTAACCCACACTATGTTGTAGTTTTAAAGAGTCTGGTGAACCCATTAGTATGGGAATACATAAAGGGCTACATTTGTTTCACTACTGCTTTTATTTGCTGTGAACTATTTTTTGGCTTCTTTTATAGAAGTGACCATATGAATAAGATTAGAATTTCCAAGGTGCCCAAAGCATATTCTGATGTCACAAAGAAGTCCCTAAATTCAACAATGTTTCCAGGAATATTGTGCCTGATTCGTATCCTGTACCTTCTACAGATTCATATATTATAGCCCCTCCCAGGTTTCAGACCGTCATCCTTTGTTTTATCAACAGTTCCACCACTGTGCACTTCTCCTCCTGAAACTAAAAATATTCTTCTCTTGTGTCTGAGCTGCCACTGCTTTACCTTCTACCCATGTAAAACAGAAAGCATATTTTAACAGCCTGAACCCCTTGGCACCTATTGCTTTATCTACAATTCACACTCTGTGGAAAGCCATTTACTGAACAGCTTCATAGGAAACCTACTTGCGGCTTGAAGCTCTGTTTTAAAACCTCTGGATTAAGCAGGAGCCAGTGTACTTGGGAAAACCATTGCCAACAAGGTGAGGGTCCACATTCTGTTGTTCCTGTGTGTGTGGCTCCATATTGAAGCTGTCTCGAATTAAAAAGAAGATGAGAGACAAAACAAAGTCTGTCTTAGACTGGCAAGAAAATCATCAAAAGTTCCTATAAAAATAGAAAGGATGACAGAAGAATCTTTGAGATTTTCTTCCATTATACGCTTCTATTTACTCTTAACATGATTTGCTTCAGTGACTCTAGAAATAATGGCTCCAGAGTACAAACGGAGGGTAGAAGTTACAGACCAAAATACATTTGTTTGGACTATTCCACCTTCATCCCTCCATTTTTTTCCTCCTAGCTATAGAAATTACAGAGAAAATAGGCCTATTTTGCTGATGATTTGTTGAGGCCACTTGCTGTGTCAAATCATCTGTGCCGACATATTTAAGGAAATTATTAAACATCATAAAAATCACCCATGAGACAAAAATGCAGTGAAAATATCTAAGTCAATGAGATACTTGAGCAAGCCAAAGAAAAACTGCAATATTCCTACATCAGCCTTAAACTGCCATAACATTCCCCAGTTTTTATAGAGGTGTTTATTTGGATTTATAAAAAGTGTTTAAAATAATTAAGCATATTTCTCTAAGCATCTTTATCATCATTCTAGAAAATGCAGCAAAAAGTATACATATGGAAAAGCACCTATTTGCATTTGCCAGGGAACCAGTGGTGTTCAACTTCTGTATTTCCACAGAAAAGGGTGTCCAGGTGGCAAGCTTACCTTTATAAAAATCTCCTCATAGCCACAGTGTAACCTATGGAAAAAAAACAGTTTGAATTTCAACATCCCACTGTTTCTCTCATATCATTCCCCATTTCTCAGCTGCTTTAAACATTACAAGAAACTCTATAATAAACCTTGTTTCTCCATTTTTTGTTTGTTTTTTATCAATTAGAATCATAGAAACATAGGTTCTTTTTATTATATTCACAGAATCATAGAATGGCTTGTGTCAGAAAGGACCTCAAAGATCATCTAGTTCCAACCTGCCTGCCACAGGCAGGGATGCCACCCACTAGATCAGGTTGCTCAGGGCCTCGTCCAACTTGGTCTTGAACACCTCCAGGGATGGGGCATCCACAGCCTCTCTGAGCAACCTGTTCCAGTGCCTCACCACCCTCTGAGTGAAGAATTTCCTCCTAATGTCTAATCTAAATCTTCCCTTTTTTAGTTTGAAGCCATTAGTTAGTAGGAACAGAAAGCAAATTTCCAATGACTATGACTAAGCACAATGTACTCTCTGACTGCAAGGTAGCCGCACTTTTAAAGAATAGTAACACACAAAGGTAGCTTGTAGCATGGATGTGGAAGTAACATGATGTAAAGTCTGGGAGCTTTGTTTAAATCCTCTAGATTTGTGCTCGTGTAAGAGGCTTTCTAGTCTTTGCTAAGAGACAACCTGTTTGGCTGTTGTTACCCAGAAAATGTTTTTAGATCTTCAAACATCACTGTAAGAAAAACGTCCTTGTGGCAAGGAGTAGATAATGGGAATTTGCATCTTAGATGACTGAACAACAGTGTCCGAGGTGAGGATTCGTCCTGAGAGGTGCAGAACAGCTAAATGGAGCATAGCTCAAATCAGCCTCACCCCAGGATGTGCTCAGGGAAGGTCCTTGGTTGCCTCCTCATAGGCCTGTCTATTCCTACTCTCTATTGCATGCTAGCCTAAACCTAACATGCTAAAGAAAATGGAGACTATAAAAATGAAAAAAATCAATTCAGAGGCTCTTTCCTGCCTGAGTCTAAGATAAGCATTTCTTATTCAGCAATGACATTATAAACACATGTATATTTGCAGCATCACCAACCCATGACACTCTGCACAGGGAATTGTAGCATGCTGGCAGGTGGCAAACAGAGAAAGGAATGGTTTGGAATATTTTAATTCAATTAAATTGACACATTTACCTCCTGAGATTTTTAATCCTGGAAGGTTTTATGACTTTTTACAATGTAATCGTTCCTCTTTAACTCGTGTCCCTTTGCTGAGATCTCTTCACACAGCATAACAGTATTTGGTTCTGCAGCCTGAAGGGAAAAAAAAAAAAAAAGTGCATAAAGGTAAACAGTGGGTAAAATTCCTATGAATATGGATTCTCAGCTACCCTTGAATTACACTGATCAAACCGACTGTTCAATATTCTGTAGTAACCTGGGAAAACGACTGAAAGTATTGGATGTTGAATATAGGTTAAATTCTACTCACATTGAATCGATGCAGAACAGAGACATTTACTGGATATTCTTGATGTGCACAAAAAGGCAACTAAGAGGAAGTTTCACTCACATTTATTTTGATAAGGGAAAATAAAGCAGGGAGGCACAGAGTTAAAACACCATTTACATCCCTAAACAAATGGAGAATATGAAGAGAATATGAATTTCTGGGTTTGGTGTTTTTTTTTTATTATTATTTATTTTTATTTTTATTTTTTCCCCTTCAGAGCAATTAAGACTGCCAGCTGCCTGCACATACAAAAAAAAAAAAAAAAAAAACCACACACCTATCTCCTGCTAAAATTTTGTTATAGTCACTGCCCACTGCCTGACAATCATTTCTGTCAGAAAGCAACATTCATAAACACTTTACAGTGGGCTGCACTGCCTTGTTTTGCTCCTGTGGCGAAGCATGAAGTGAAACAGCGATCCAGGAGTATTACCACAGTCGCGCTCTCTCCTCTTACAAAAGCCTGGCTTCTTTGGAAGGACCTCTGTGTTGGCGGGCTGCTTTTCATTACATCAGGAGGGCCAATTTGGGGTATCATATGCAGCTGAAAAATTGCGAGTAAACTGCCATTACTTGCAGCAGGAACTCAAAGGGCTTTGACTTGCAGAAGGGAAGATCACAGGCCAACATGAAATTCTTTTCTATTTAGGTGGACTGGAGAGAAAATGAGGGTTCGTGCCCTCAAATTGCAGCAATCCTTTGTTCTGTTATCTCCTTATAAAATGGAGGGAGAGCCAAATACATTTCATTTGTACTCGGAGAGGAGAGTTACCCCCGTGCTCAGTAATACCGGACAAAGCCCTATTGAATTGGCTGGGACAAAAGCATGCAGCTTGTGTTAAGCATGGGTTCTTCTTATAATGCCATCTGGTTTCTGAGGCACAAGTTTTACAAGTGCTTAAGCCTAGTGCTGCTGTGTTTAACTGGTTCAGGAGCTTGAGTCTTCCAAGGAAGGTTGGCACACAAAAGGCAAAGTCTTATTTGCTTCTGGCATTGCTTTGGGGTTTTCTGTACAGGTGAGGGCTGACAGCAGCTCCTCACCTCGTGCAAAGTCAGATAGGCCAGAACCAGCCACCAGAAATCCCCGGGGACTCTAGAGATACATCTTCAGTCACCCAGGGACACGAAACTCATTCAGGGTTACGTGACACTAAAAGCTAGTTGTGCTCTTTGGAAAACCCTACAGGTCTCCTAGTTTTACAAGCAAGCCAGCTCAGACCCAGGAAGGAGGTTCAGTCCTCTCTGTCCAGCAGTTTATGCTAGAGTGATTTTTTTTTCTTCCTATTGGTTTCCAATAGACTTAGCTTCCAGTGAGAGATAGCTCTGAACTGGCACAAAGCAGACGGGAAGAAAACAGCTTTCCCAGAGCTTTGCCAGGCGAGGCGCTGCTGCACGCAGCTGGACTACGCTGACACTAAAAGCTCTGCAAGTAACAGGGCCTGAGGAAAAAGCAAGGTGAAGTCTCTCATCTCCCAGACAAAAGGAGGCTGGGAGCACGAGGCATCTTACCGGGCAGCTCTCCTTTTTGCCCCCCCCTCTGTTTTCCTGGATATGAGTTTTAAAATGGGTTATATTTTGCCTGCGGCAATTTCTTTTAATAACTGCAATTATTCTCTCCCATTGTTCTGACTCTTACAAGCAAATTAGGGAAATTCAAAGGCAATTTTCATGATTGTTTGTTGTCAGGGGCTTATGAATGGCTGCTCTACTTTACTAGAATGTTTCATTAAATAAATAACAAGTATGGCACAAGAGCTGTAAACAGCCAGATAAAGATCAGTTCATTTAGAGACAGATCCTGCCCGGTGCTTAGCTGGGCATACAGGAGACCCAGCAGGCCGCTCTCCTGACAGAAATAGGAAGAGCTTCCATGGTTAAGGAAGGGCTTTTAAAGGGCTTTTAAAGGGCTTCTTGCTCTCCCCAGCTGCATTTGGCCAGCGCCACACGAGGTCGAACCATGCCTCCAGCCCCTGTGGAGTATGGGCCTGGGACACGGAGAGAGGCCCTGCTCTGTAAGCTGGAGACTTCTGAGGAGAATTTTCTTTTCCACACAAAACTGCAGTGCAGCCATCCACTGCTGCATGTGCCAAAGCCCTTCCGAGCCCACAGGATCTTGTTTTGTGGTCTGAATGACTGCAGCAAATCGCACAAGGCCTGCCTCCCCTCGGCACAGCGTGAGGAGGTGCGCTACGCCTCCGCCCCATCCCGTACATGCTCGCTGTGTTTACCAATTGCTCACCTCGAGATGATTTCAGCGCCATCTGCTCTCTGTTTTCTCCCCAGCAGCAGGGACCTGGGATGCGAGCACGCTTCTTTACAACTCTCATCACTTAGCATGTGTTTCACAGCCTACCTGGAAGCATGCACGATCAGGGTATGGCACTGGGAGGCTCTAGCGTCCCCCCCTTTCTCCATGCTTGCACAGCACGCAGGGAGAAGTCGCAGGCCATGGCAAAGGCCACCCTGAATAAACAGCACCCTGACCTCATGACACACCATGTGGGAAATAACAACTGGGATGGGAGCTAAGAACAGCAGCAAGGCTGGATTTCTGGAACAAATCCAAAGTCAAGGCCTCGAAAAGGACTCAAGTATGCATTTCTTCTGCTCGAAATATCATGCAAATGTTTCGCTAAATGGCATCCATCAATAGCAGAGGATCAGGAGCACATGCCAAATTGTTTCAGGCTTCATCTGGACAGGGGGAAACTGACTGTACAAGGCAAACCTAAGCTAATAACTTCCAAATGTTCCCAAATCTCTCAAGTTTTAAACATATAATAGGACTCGTTCCCACCTCCAACAGCAATGCAGACATTCCTCTGTTAGACCACTGTAAAGACAAGCCAGGTATAAAAGATGACAAACCTAATGTTTATAGCCAAACCTAATGTTTATAGCCTATTTTCCTAAGGAAGTGACATTCACTCAGGTAAACAGGTTTGTAGGTATGCTTATTACCTCTCCTATACTGGTAGCTTTTTAAACCTCAATTGTAAAAGAATCCAACAAAGTAGGAGAAGTCTTAAAGACAATCTAACTTAGAAAAAAATAAATGGAACTCAATATGACCAGCACTGTGCCAATGTCTTAATGGACAGCAGGGGCTCACCAGCATCAGGTATCTTCACAAATGTTCCCACTCAGAGCTCACAAGTAGCCATGAGGCAGACATCTGCAGGATACTCAACTTATTTCCATTACTTACTGAATGCTTTACTGCCTGGTTTATTAATCTTGATGAGGAAAGATGGAGAGAAGTTCAAGTAAAATTCCAGTAACCTGAACAACAATTTCCATCTTGAATCTTCCCTATCATTTGTGCCTTACTGATTCTTTAAAACCCACCTCCACTACTGGAAGAATCAAAGCTTTCTCCATCATCTGAATAACTTAGCAAGCAGAAGATCAGAGGTATCGCTAATGTGGCTGTCAAACCCTGTGCTCATAAGGTGCTTTGAAGAGGACCTACTTCATAGCCACAGCTTGGCCATAGCCATCTTACCTGGAGCTTCACAGAGAGGAATACTCATGAGAATTTCTAAAACAAACAAACAAAACAAAAAACAACATAGAGGCAAAAAACTTGACAGCCTGACATGAGGGGGATTAGCAAACTCTCCTCCAATTGCTTATCCAAAGGCAACTTGAGCCTGGTTCTGGAGACATTAATTTACTCTCAGCACAAAAGACAATGGGAACATGAATTGCTAAGTTCGCAGAATACAACCATGGACTCAAACTACATAACCCTTCCCCTTCCCCTTCATTTTCCCTCAATAACTTACTCCAGATTACCGAATCTTCTCTCTCTGCTGCCTCTGCACCATACAGCCATGCCCAGTGTGTCCTGATAAACCTATTCAGTCTCACCTTCTCCTGAACTCTCCAGGCCCAAGGACTGCCTGCTAAGAAGAGTTTGCTTTTTACCCTTTGGGAATAAAAGCATTTTTGTTCAGAAAATACCTATATATGTGTTCACTCAAAATAATATATAGGTTATTGATATCCCCTACAAAAACACAGTACATTTGTAATAAAAGAAAAATTGAACATATCAATCTGGAACCTGGCCTTGGGACTCATGAATTTTAGTTGAGTCTGCATCACTCCAGATCAACAAACTTGAGAAGTTTCTTGGCATGGGAAAACACCTCACAAGTCCTTTTTCTTTCAATACACCCTGGGCCTCCCTGCCTCTGTTGCCCTGCTCTCTGTCAGCCTCTCCAGCAGACCATGCTCCCCAGTGGGGTCTCCCTCCCCTCTGTCCTGGTGGTCCCACCTGCACCAGACAGCAGCAGCATGTCCTTCTCAGCTACAAAACCGAGGGTAAAACAGCTCACTGCTTCCTCTACCTTCCACAGAGACATGTCAAGAGAAGAGATGGCTGTTAAGAACCACATGGATCCTTCATCTTTTCTGCCACATAATACAGACCGCAGTCCTCTTCTCTGCCAGCTTTACACAACAATGACTTTGTTCCCATTTTTCTATGCTATAAAGAAATTACCAAAATAAATGGAGAAACTATATAGTTTTCCATTTATTCAGATTTTTATTTTTCTGTATCTATACTTATATAAAGTATAAGAGAGAACAAGACACAAAAAAAATCAGGAAAACTACCTGGAGCCACGTATACCCCTTCATACCTTTGCTATACTCATTCTCTGCTAAACTAAATTTATAAATTTAAGTGAAGGCAGAAAAATAATCAATGCTTTCTAGAGCCATTATTGGAAACCTCTGATGATAAACAGCTCCGTTAGCAAAGAAACAAAAGTAAAAACAAAACCAACCAAAACACTGAAAGGTTTAATACTGTAGTCTTCTGGATTTATTGTCCCTGGTCAATAGGAGGCTATTTTATGGTAATTTAAGAAAAGCCTACAGTGTTGGTTACTGAAGAATCATAAATAGTGGTACACTAATAGAGAAAATAGGGCTGGGTAGCTAAAGAGAAATAAAGATTGGGAGCAGCCTGGATGTGACCTTCTTTATTGCAAATGACATTTCTTCACGATTTTAAGTAACACGTGCTTGCCATCCCAATATACAACGTCTGATCAACTTAAAACGATGTTTTCAACACTGAGCTTTATTTAGCAACTAGCTGCTCTTCTAAAAGGGCCCTGATCCAAAGTCACTTTGTGTAACAGAATTTACCTGTTAGAAATGACAAAGCCATGAAACAAGGACAACCACTGCAACTCCACAGAGAGCTGAGGGTATAACATAAAAACAGTAATCAAACACATAAATGGTTGCAGAAAAAAAAAAAAAAATAAAGGAAAAAAAAAGAAGGAAGCAATCTCTTCTCCACTTCCAGGAACTGGAAAGAAATAACAAGCTTAAGTTGTAGCAAGAAACACTTGCATTTCAAAGGGAAGAAAAAACAAACAAACAAACAAAAAAAGTTGCTAGCAATAAAGCGCTGGACTGCTCTACAAGAGGAAGCTGCAGTCTGTCTCACCTTCAAACAACTACCTGGATCTCTCACAGAAGAAGCTCAGGCATGTCTGGCTCTCTCCAAGCACTGGATAGACTGGGTTACCTAAGCCCCTTCTCTGCCTCACTTCTGGCAATTCTTTCATGCTTGTTTTTCCACAGCCCAGTAACAGGCTGCAGGATGAGAAACCCCAAATCCTGTACCTAAGGCTCCTCTGTTTCCTTTGGAAAGTTATGGGTGAGGGTCTTTGACAAAATAACTATTGTATTTTCTTAGCTCTACAGCTTGCATTCTGGCTTTGTTCTTTCAGTTATTAGTATTACTGCTAATATAGAATAAATGAAGAGGATGATGATTTCTGCCTATGGAAAGGAGCTGCTGGAATCTATAGCTACTGGAAACAAGTGGTAAAAAGCTCTGCAGACCTCTTGTTTTCAAGATGAAATTGCCTGTCTTGGGTCAGAGTACATCAGAGATGGATCTGTCCCATATTTTCTTGGTAGAATGTGTACCAGGGACTTCTAATCTTTTGAGCTATACTGCACCAGACAGAAGAAAGGCACCACTGTAGAGGTACAGCTCAAACCTGCTGGGTGAGACAGATCAAAAGATGAGGGAAGGTTCCTTAACACAAACCATATGCTCTTGTCCCAGCCAATTCAACAGAGCTTTTTCCAGTATAACTAAGCCTAAGTGTAGCTAATCTCTGAATATGAAAGAAATGTGGCTGCAAAAATACAACTTAAACTCCAGTCACCATTTCAGTGGGAGCCCAGACACTGAACAGCATGATTCATGCCCACTCTGGAGCTTCAGGGAATTCCTTCCCTTCCCTTTCCATACACCCTGGAAAAAGGTATGGGTGTAAAATGGAAACTTTAATGATAAAATGATACCAATAAAAACAAATAACAACACAAATCAGCATAGCAACACACTCAGGACTGCGCAAGTGATTTAGAGGCCTAGTTGGCATCTGTCAGGCCTAGTCCTGACTGGAAACGAGCCTAGCACCATGCAATGCCTCTTCTAAAACACACTTCAGTCTCAGGTGGTACAGGCACCCTTGCAAATCACACTCCACATTTAAACAAAAATAAGAGCCGATAAACTGCCCTTCGTAAGGAAATTTAGTGTCTCCTTTTATGTCCACTCTCGCTATTTGGGTGCCACTCATGTATTTCATTATATAAAAAAAAAGTTGATAAAGGGTTAATCTGCATGTTAATACACAGTTAATCAATTGTTATGGACTCCATCCGTTGCATAGGTTGTTTGTATGCTTGGCTTGCAGCCATCTACAATACCTTCAACTGATGGGCTAATAACCTCTGTAATACACACCAGCCACTACTGGAGCCATCTATGCCTTCAATCTATCATTTATTACCTTTTCTAAACTATAGATGGACCCTTAATATAAAGAATGATCATTTTATGTTTGCTTGCCTGAATATATACGAGCACTCAGCCACATCATTAAAATAATTTCACCGCTAAGCCATACCTAATATTCCAAAGAGACAGAGCAGAATTTAAATTAGGGGGAAAAGAGACGGAGATTCCTTATAAAAAGGTCTTGAGATGTGACAGGAAAGAAGAAAATGGATTTGTACAAAATAACAAGCACATAAAAATGTGAACTTTACCACAAAGTTTTCTGAGTTTTGACAAAATTTCAGTTCACTTTTAGTTTTAATTACGATTTTGCATTATCCATGCAATTTTCTGTGTTATGCTGGACATAGGAAGCAAAACCATTTAAATACCACAAGTGAAATACTAAGGAATATATAAATACCTTGAATATAAATATTGGTGAATATAAAAATACTTTTAAGCCAATGTCAACGCCAAGGTCAGGCTTCTGCTCCACAAGGAAGGACATGCTTGCTAAAATCCTCAATTAGCCCATATCAAGGGGAACAGGAAATCATGGCAACTGGAAGCAAAAGATGAAGAAGCTTGTGTTAACGACCTTAACCAACTGTGTGCCTGTACCTGTTATTTTTATAAAGGCTCAGGCCCTGAAGTCATGGCTTAGGAGAGAAAAACAAGAAGGCCTCAGCTTTCTGCAAGTGTATTTCTCATTCTGTAATTAAACAGAAACTCAAAACAATGATTCAAAAGAAAGTAAAAAGGAAATTAAATGTCATTGTACTTCAAATTTAATATTTTCTAAAAACAAGTTGCATGACTGTTCAGGTGGTAAAGCTTAGCAATCATAGGGACACGAGAACAAAGGAGGGTACTATTACTCAGAGAAACAAAGCACTCTTCCCAGTCTTCCTCTACCTACAGCAACATAAACTGCTTCACTGCAAGTGGGATGTTATTTTTTGTCCACAGGATGCTCACTCTATTGTGTAATACAACCAAATTCAACTTAATGCTAAAGAACATTCTTAACAGTGGTGTCAGCAACTAAGAGCTTTGCTGTATGTCTTCAGCACTTCAGCTTTTCCCCACTGACACTCCCACATCAGCTAGCATAGTGTTGGTGGAAATCCCACTACCTTCCAGTAGGGAAAGCGTGTCTGTTTGCTTTTGCCTGTTATAGCCCTGGTGGGAAACTCTCTTCTTGCTATCTATCCTCTCCTTTTCTGTGCCCTCCTGTTGCAGCTGGGAAAATGCTGAGCCTGAAAAAATACAAAAGGTACTATTCTGAGAAGGTGTGAGACACAGGAGCTCTGTCTGGGGAGTCCTTTGTGGGGGCTCGCACTCCAAGTACAAGATTTGACAGGCCTTTATATAGTATCTCCACTTTGCCCTTTGGTTTACCACCTGTTCTGCACTGATGGCAGGATTTGATTCTTTTGCAAAACACAAAGGTGTAAAACTGCAGAAATTAAATCCATACAATACGATCCTCTTGCCTCCTTTTTCACAAAGCTGTCAAAATAATGATGTATTCATGGTATTTCTCTTGATGTGAGAAACTTCCAGCGCACAGATATGAATCAAAGCATTTTGTGCTATTTATCGTCTCAGAAGGATTTTGAGCCTCTTTCTCTTAATAGATGGAAACTATAATTTTGAAGGTGGGTAGTGAAACTTCTCTTTACATTTGAATGGACAGCTCAAGGTGATAAAGAAAGCACAGCGATGCAAAAATGTTTTATGCCCAGGTACAGCATGGCCATTTCACATCTTGGCTGATTTAAGGGAGGATAATCCAAAGTGCAAGAATGTGCAAGGATATATGCATACAGCCACGTACATCAAGCCATGTTCTCCTCTGAGATGTGCATACACAACTGCAATTTCACAATTCACAGATAGGGAAGTAGCAAATACACTTCGTTATTATAGGGCTAGCTTGTAGCTGGAGGTGGTGCCATGCAATCATCTGTGCTGCCCAGCTTTACTTCAGTGAAGTCGCTGGCTTGTTCATGAAGGTAGCTTTGACCTCCCATCAATTCAGAGAAATGTAAAGCAGGAAAAGCTTCAGTAGAATTGGTTCAGACTGACATGTTTAGTAGTCCCATTTCTATCCTTGATACACTTTTGAAATACAGCTGAAACAAGTAAGAGCTACACTTGTTCTGTATGGGAATTTATGTACTATTTCTTCACTTAGTTATTTATCAAGTTCAATCAGGTTAGAACAGGACAACATCAAGCCATGCATTCACAATACACAATGAACTAACTTACCCTGCTGGGTAAGCCAGCACAGACTTCGACTTCAAGGACCTCCCCCAATTTATAGCCAGTTCAATATGAGACCATATCACTGCAGGGATTCTGCTGTGTGGGACAGAGTGACTTTGCCATTCCAATTTTCTGTGCATTGCCAAACCTAAACTGGACTGCTTGATGGTGGTATAATGTAACCAACTGCGGAGTTGGTTAGTAGTACAGAACTGAATCCCCATTAAACAAATAAAAATGTACTTTAAAAGCTATGAATGACAATGAAGAATCCTTTTTTGTAGGGCAGGGGGTTGCAGTTGCTGGTTCTGTTAAGACGTCTTGTTCAATAAGAGCAAGTGCCGGGTCCTGCACCTGGGACGGGGAAACCCTGGCTGCACGTACAGACTGGCGATGAGACGCTGGAGAGCAGCCTAGAAGAGAGGGATCTGGGGTCGTGGTAGACAACAAGTTGAATATGAGCCGGCAGTGTGCCCTGGCAGCCAGGAGGGCCAACCGTGTCCTGGGTGCATCAAGCACGGCATCGCTAGTAGGTCGAGGGAGGTGATTGTCCCGCTCTACTCTGCGCTGGTGCGGCCTCACTCGAGTACTGTGTGCAGTTTCTGGGCACCACAGTATAAAAAGGACATGAAACTGTTGGAGAGTCCAGAGGAGGGCTACGAAGATGGTGAAAGCCTGGAGGGGAAGACGTACGAGGAACGGCTGAGGGCACTGGGCCTGTTCAGCCTGGAGAAGAGGAGGCTGAGGGGAGACCTCATCGCAGTCTACAACTTCCTCGTAAGGGGGTGTCGAGAGGCAGGAGACCTTTTCTCCATTAACACCATTATAATGTGGACTTACTGAGGTTTAACAGTGACTGAAAGACCACAGCACTGATGATTCTTAAAATATCTGAAACATCACTTTTCTACAAACAACCACTCATATTTTCTGAAATGTGCAATTCTTACCCCAAATTTCTTTTGCTATTCCAGAATAATATTTTAGCACATCTGCTGAAGATGCAATGCCATTTCTCTAGATTTCAAACCTCCTGAGCAACCAATTATGTTGATTGAAAATTGGTTATTTCCTTCACCAATTTCCCACCAATCAGGATAATATCATTGCACAGGTTCCTAATCAGGATTCATTACGGTGGATGCAAAAAGTATAACAAGCTCTTCTTTTGGATAACTTTGCGCTGTTCTTTAGGATAAGAGATTTGAGTTTTTGTTAAAAAAAAAAAAAAAAGAAAAAAAGAGAGAGAGAGAGAGAGAGAGAAACCAGAAGAGAAAAATATATGAGTGCTATATAGAAAACAGTAATTGCACTGATGGGAACAGTTACCTGAGGATAAGATCTTCTCCAAAGCATTCATCTCTTAGATGCAACACTTTGAAGAACTGCCCTTAAAACTGAAAACAAAACAACTTCATTTGACTTCTGAGTCACGCCACAGAGTTCAAGAGAACTAAATCCCACCTTTTAAAGATAACAGACACATCCCACCACAGAAACACACGATTGTTTACCAAAACATAAACTCTACTGCTTTTGTGTTAGTTTAAAGAGAACCCTAATGAATGCCTATAAAAATCGTATGCATATCCCCCGTGTCTTCAGGGACTTGACACTAGAATTCAGTAACAGTAATAATAAAAATACTTAAATAACATTTAACTTTGGATGCCAAGGAAAGTACTGAAATGGCTATTCAGTTTCTACCTGAATTTACTGATGCTCTTTCAAATGCCCATGCTGATGGCCATTTCCCGTTTTAAAAAGATGAGGCAAAGATCTTGACATGCTGCTGGAACTTGTAAGCAGCTCCCAGGCATGCTTAGAGCAGCAGCCCAAGTTAACTCTGTGCCTGTCATTAGACCTTGCAAAATTGGATGTCATGTGCTGAAACAAGTTATGGCATCTGCAGGCCATTTCACTACTGGAGATCATATCTTGCAGAGATGTCACAGGAGACACGATGGGATTTACCTCCAGTCCCACCTTAACATGTTTTTCTGCTCTCCCTTTCTGCAGCTCCCAGTGTAAACCACTTAATATAAAAACTAATCATAAACACAAGTGACTTTGCACTCTTTGGATGCTCAATTCTCCAAGTACTGACTCACTTCTAAGGGTGGTGAGGCGCTGGAACAGGTTGCCCAGAGAAGCTGTGGATGCCCCAGTATGCTGACTATCTTAAAATCATCCACAGACATCCTTTAATGATGAGCCATTTTAATTACTGAAAAGTGTTTTTGCTAAGAGTTCTCATAGTTTTTGGTATCTTTTTTGTACTGCATGTTTTTTTTTTCTGTCTCTTTAGTCAGGCTGTTGCACTTTCTTTTTATTTTGTTTCTCATCCTTAATTAACTTTGCAATCTTTTTTAGGAAATTTGTCCCTTTCCTATGAAAGCTAATTAACAAAATATAACTTCTGAAGTCAAAGACATAATCTAAACAGTTAGATCACAGGTATGAAAAATACACAGACAAGTACACAAACACTGACGACAAATTAATAATAAAAAAAAAGATTAAAGAAAGTATTTACTATCCCTTTGATGGCAAGCATTGCAACTAAAAGTAGTGAAAGTAATACTGGCCTCTGATTATCAGAGAGAATGGGGTTCACTCTCCTCATTTTATGTATTTAGCTGTTTATTGGAAGTTAAGGTGAAGGTATGGATATATGAATGTATGGATGTGCATCACTGCAGGTACACCAAAGCTAAATCATTTCTGGCACGATACAAATAATACTGCCACCGAGCCATGCCCGTCTTTGGTTGTCATGACAAATTCTGAAATGCTGAATTTCAGGACTTGGTAAGAAAGAGAAATTCTGAGAGAATGAAAACTGGGGTGGGGCAACAAACAAAAACAAAACCCAGCTCTCCCTCCATCTATAAAGTGTCATAATCAAGCATTTCCCAACCACACGAACACCTCCCCAGCACAGAGCACATATGCTTTGCTTTCTTTTTTTCAGCTGGACCAGTTTGAGGCTCAGATGGAGTACACGACCCTAAGACTGGCAGTCAGACTCCTTCCACCCAACTCAGCCCCAAAGCTCCACATGTTAACAGGGGCTATCACTGGAATGTTACACTATTGATTAATAGGGACGATTTAGGCTGATAACCTTACTTCATTGCATTCATAAGAACTGAGTCATGGGTGTCTTCTCATATGCTTTTCGTCTCTAAGAACCTGAGAAATTTTACCACATTCAGTGACTTAATGGATGATTTGGCTTATAACTACATTCCACAACAGCAGAGCACCCTGGAGATACACTTGCTT